ATCTGGGTAGCTGCATAAGTGCTGGTGGGGGTGTGAGTGATGAGATCAATGCACGTATAGTGAAAGCCAGAGCGGCTTATGCCAATCTGGGCCATCTTTGGCGCCTTCGTGATGTTAGTCTGGCTGTAAAAGGTCGGATCTACAACGCGTCGGTGAGAGCAGTTTTGCTCTATGCTTGTGAAACCTGGCCTCTCCGAGTTGAGGACGTTAGACGACTCTCTGTGTTCGATCATCGCTGTCTCCGAAGGATTGCTGACATTCAGTGGCAACACCATGTCAGTAATGCAGAGGTTCGGCATCGTGTGTTCGGGCACAGAGATGATAATTCAATTGGTGTCACCATCTTGAAACACCGACTTCGGTGGCTTGGACATGTTCTCCGAATGTCGTCCCAGAGAATTCCACGTCGTGCATTATTTGCCGACTCTGGGACTGGTTGGAAGAAGCGGAGAGGTGGTCAGTGCATGACATGGTGTCGTGGCATGAAAGAAAGCTGCAAAGGACTGGCTTGTGTTGGTCCTTCACGACTCCCTGGTTGGGGTCCGAGAGATGGTGCTACACAGTGGCTAGAGACGTTATCAGATATGGCTCAGAATAGAAGCCAGTGGCGATCCTGCTGTAACCTTCTTTTACTTTCTTCATAAAAAGTGGTTGTGTCTCCCTTACCTGAAAGATTTCTTCCGATTGTACCTTTGCGTTCCCTGATTACTAGCACATTACCTTACACCAATCTCTTCGTTATTGTTCTCTCTTTTTGTGTTGCGCTCCTCAGCTTTTTTTTTCTTTCTTTGTATTCCTCTCGAATTTTCATTGTTTTGTGTGGCGCATATATATTGGCGCTCTCTTGTACCAATATTCATGTGTCCAAATAAATAAATACCTGAGTTGGCCTCTTCTATGTGCATTTACAAATTCAGCTGCTCCTGTGGAGATAGCTATATAGGGCGTACTACCAGGCAACTTAACCAACGAATGAGTGAACATCTACCAACTTGGTACATAAAGGGCCAGATAAAATCTATTCCAGTTCTATCTTGGCACATCTCATTGATAGCGGTCATGCTGTAGATAAATCGAAATCATTTCGAGTTATCTACCGTATACCTCCATCATTTCCCGACGGAGTTCGTTCCCGCCTCCTACATATAGCTGAAGCCATAGGAATTCGTACATATAACTCCAATTTATGTGTACAGAAGAAATACGTAACCCCCCTATTCCTCACGTGGCCAGTTATCATTTAACAAACGACTTTTATTTTGTTATCATTAACCTTATTTTCACATCTAGTATTCGTTTGTAATTTCCCGCCTCTTCCCGTTTGTATTCTTCATTATTTAATTATTTACACACATCTTATTACGTAATGATTTTAATGTTTTGTGGTGACTATTCCAAGTCTATTTACCCACGTTTGTTTAACCTGCTATTCCCAACGTTTAACTATTGATAAGAGTTTTGTTATTGTATTTTATTATTCTTACTACTATCAGTACACCCATCTTCCTACTATCAATTTGTATTTTTACCTATTATGTGTAGAGACTTATTCTATTTCATTGTGATTATTGACCCATATTGCCTTGATTGGTTTAACATTTTCGTATAACTATTCATGTATATTAGAGTAAAGCCTGATGACGATCTAATTGAAAACAATTATTCGCTTATATGTGTTGCTTTAATTTTCACAATGGGAATCTTTAATATTCTAATATCATGTTAGTTATGCGGGTGTTCGGCAACGTGTGTTCGGACACAGTGACGATAATCCACTTGTTGTCACCCACTAAAAACACCGACTTCTGTTGCTTGGACACGTACTATGAATGTCGTACCAGCGAATAACATATCGTCTATTATTTGCCGACGCTGGGACCGGTTGGAAAAAGTGGAAGTAGTCGGTCTATGACATAGTAGTACTGGCCAATCCTGGTCGGAGAGGTTTTTATCCACCTATACCGAAAGATATTGTCTTAAGCATATTTATACGTGGTTGTTCATTAGTATTTGTAGCGTATAATTTATTTTACAATAGTTTGGATAAACGATTGGAAATTTTAAACAGATCAAGTGTAAGTTGTTTTGTACAGTTGAGCAAGTACATATACGTTGCATGTTTTGAATACATTTTGGACAGTATTGTAGTCAAATAAATGCCCTTGACTTTTTTGATTTATGAAAGCATATTGCAATAACTAGTATTGTTACATGCCTACGCGATCTATCTTTACCTTCTGATAGATGAGTCGTTAAGCCCAACATTAATCCAACTTCCTTTTCAGGTTCCTCAAGAAATACCCTTCCACGGTGTGGGCAGCCGGGAAGTGACATCAGCCCTCATACCCGTAACAGCACACGAGACCAAGTCGGTCACATTCAAATCCTTCCTACACCTCCTAATATCTATCTTATCTCCACGACTAACCCTTCTCACGTCTCTTTATCACCTGGCGCCGCTACGGCAAACGATTCGAGCACGCGGAACGTTATTCCTGGTCTCGTGAAACCACTCTCTAAACTACACGTAGGAGCAATTAACGTCCAAACACTGTGCCAAATAGGACAGCAGGCTTCCTTCGCTAGGACTTTAGAATCTCGCTCCATCGATGTGTGCTGCGTCTCCGAAACGCGCATACAGGACCCGAGTAGGGTAATTCATTTGACCGCACCATTTCAAAATAAAGAACCAACTCGATTCGCACTTCGTGCACTAGGTAAGGATAGCAAATCAATTGATGAAGTAGTGAAACTTCATCAGTTGAGATGGCTGGAACACGTGTTACGTATGCCCAACCACCGACTGCCTCGACGTGCGATGTTCAATGGTATAGGAGTAGGTTGGAAGAAAGCTAGGGGCGGCCAGACCAAAACATGACACAAATCGATTAAGTCACTGACAAGTGGACTGAGTCATATTGGTAGGTGTAGACTACCTGGTTGGGGACCGCGAGATGATAGCAACCGATGGTTAGACCCTGAATGACATGACTGAAAATCGTTTGCTATGGCGCAGGTGTATCCACCCCTTGTGTTCTGCAAAATTCTAATCTTCTGAATTCTTCATGTCCCTTTTCTTTTTCTCTTTCCAAATTTATTTCACTGTATTATACTCCTTGAATAACATCTTCAAACCCTAATGTTTCCGATCACTGCTCATACTTTTAAAAAAACTACCACTACGGGATTTTAGTCGACAACTTCATTTCTGTGCTAATGTGGTGTGGCAAATCGAACTGATGTACGTGCGTACGAAGTTCTACGTTGTTATTGACTGGCTGACTGACTGAGTATGAAAGGAAGCTGTACAGGAGTGGCATCTGTCGGTTCTTCATGACTTCCTGGTTGGAAACCTAGAGATAGTGTAGCATATTGGCTGTGGAGACGTTAACATACATGGCTTAAAATAGAAGTCAGTGACGATTCTTCTGTAACTTTCTTTTACTTCATAAAAGTGCGAGTAACTTCTGTATCTGAAAGAATCCTTTCTGGTTGTACTTTTTTAACTGAACTGCTTCTCCAATTATTACTAATGTTATTTCACTCTCATCCACTCATTTCCATTCAATTTTGTTGGTTTTATTCTTGTTAAACTAACCCTCGTTTCTCTGTCTGTTAACGATCTCATTTTCATTGTGTGGTGCATGTATATTATGGTGGCCCTATATACCAATATCTGTTTAAATAAAATTGTGCTAAAAACATAAACAAATTGTTTTGATAACTCATTACTAATCTGTTAAAGCATTTATAGTAGCGTTAGTTATGACAGTTTTCCAATTTTATCTTAACAGGTAATGCTGTCTGGGTTTATGACCTTTTAGTTCACTGTAGGTTTTTGATTAGCTAGGTTCTAATGAAAGATAAGATATCTGTACTTATTTTGAGATAGAGCGAACACTAGTATTCTATATTATCTGATATACTAATATTGTTGCGCATATATTCTATGCCAACTTTGGATGACACAGATGTGCCAGTTTGTATATTAATTATAACTAGCTCACTGGTATATGTTAACTTGTGTGATTCAGTGAGTTTTCATAGAGCAATGATTTAATATTGTAGATACTCCATCTTTCATTTGATAAGTGTTATTCTCATGGTCCACTCCATACACTTCGATTTAACTGGCCGATTAGTATTAATACCAGTCAAACAAGTAGGCTTGAAGTCCCTTGAATACAATTGATCTCTATATTCCAGTTGAGTAAGGGAATTCTCGGAGTTCTATTGAGGAGCCGTGACCAGTGGGACCAATCCGTATCGGGTAGATTCAGTTATCTACCTCAGTACAATCGAAGATTGTCGCGCAATTTCGTGGATTGGTCGAGGTTAGACATTAACACTTGGATACCTACTCAATGGTCTAGAAGTTCAACGTTCGCAAGCGAGACTGGATGCCCTGAGCAAGGTCATGGATGCGTACTGCTGATAGGTCCCACAATAGGACGAAACGGCTATCAAGTGCTTCCAGGTTTTCCATGGTGGTCTAGCTTCAATTGACTCATGATTTCAACTATTGAAACTACTGTAATCTCCACAAAACCGCTTCTGATACTAATCAACGTATGCTCACTAGTGACTGGCTTCAAGATATATATCCGGGAGTACTAGTGAGAAGCAGTGACCAGTGGAGTTCAACCGAGTCTGTTGTGAGATAATAACTCACGCATGACAATGGTGGATGTGTCGATCAATTTCGTGGATTAGTTGAAGTTAGACATTAACACCGTTGGATGCCGGCTCAGTGGCCTAGTGGAGAAGTAGGATTAGTAAAGCAGTACAATGTATTTTAAAAAGAAAACCTCTTTCAACTATTCTTTACAACATACGACATTTTATGGATTATTCTATTCGTTTGATTATATTTTACCTTTTATCACCTAACCCATGATAGTCTTTTGTTGAATAACGTAATATGCTTATATGTCTTGTATATCTCTATAAAGTCTTACTAATAGCTTAACTATATTTCATTATTATCTTGTTGTTTACAGGGATGCAGTGAAACGATTATGTTCTTCATGTGTTGGATGAATTCTCTTTAAATATATCAGATTATGAATAATACTATTTATGTAAAATTACAAAAAATCGACAACTACATCAGACTGTTTATCTTTTTGGTACTGTGTGTATAACTGATCTCTGGCGCCTGAATTTGTAATATTCCTCGACTGGTTTGATGTATATTTTTTTTATCTTTTCATTTTTGCAATCTCTTTGAATATGACTATGTTTTTCTTTTTGTTTTTGTTTGTCATAAACTAAAAAACAAACAAACAAATGGCAAATTCCTATGAATTAATCATTTATCTCCATGTGAACAATTTTTCCTTGTGATTAACCAGTTTTTATTGAACGATCAATGTGCCTTCAAAACTTTGAACTTTAGATATGAACCAAAGAATATTAATTCTTTTTTTTATAACATTATGATGTGTGATCTTGTAACGTCATTATACCATGGTAAGTTGTATTGTTGTGATATAAGCTGAAAAGAAATATGTTGTTTTAAGTCTTTATCTGTGATCAGTCGTGTAGGTTGAACGCTATATACGATTCCTAAGCTATTCCGGTAACCCGCAGTCTAGAACTACACGGCGACTTGAACTCCAGAGAGAAGATACAAGTATGAGAGAAAACACTTTATTCCAAGGTTCATCCTTGTACAGAAAATCAAGGATATTTATAGATGTTGGCGTCTGTTAAATGAACATCATATTTCAGTCAATCCGTTAACGTTATTTTATGCTACCGACCAATGATAGCACGCCACGCTGGAATTCTCGAACGTTCCATCATACTCTGATTGGCTAAGACTCTTCGGTTCCTTTTGGGCCTCTTGAGGCTCCGTTGAAGTTCTCCGGAAGCCGACCCAACAATCTGTTTCTTTGTATTTTATGTCAACAACAACAACAACGAAAAAAACTCCGGTTCAAATCCGATTGAGTAAAATTACTTACTTCATAAGTGTATATACTTGGTCCCTGAGATGTTCTGATTAGTTGGACTTCTTATAATCATTCAGTAATTCTATTTACAGAAGATTCAAGTGTATCACCTTGGTTTGTTTGAACATCTTATGCATAAACCGATCATGTTTATGTTTAAGTGATCTACATATTGTAGTGTTTTCGTCCATTTGATCATGTAGTGAACTAAATAATGAAAAAAAGTACTTGTTTTTTTTTTTCAAGAGGCATTTTTCTCTTACTGATTATGCTAGCTATTATCTAACGAATGAAATAAACAGTATTATTATATCACCAAAATGCTTTGGATCAAATGCCCTGGTATGGCCGAGAGTGGGGTGGGCCCGCCCTCCCTCTTAAAATGCTTTCACACGGCCACGCGTATACAGCCTCTGCCAGGGAAGTCCTACTCACTGCTTTCTCGCACCACGGGTGTTGTTTACGAAAATGAGAAGACAAAATGCGAATGTCCGGCGCTTTAACCGGATTGCAGACCAATGGTGCACATGGGCTCCAGTATCCTGAGGGAACAAATGATGTATGAACCAATCGTTGGTCACCGGCTACCATGGGACTGCATCTCCTCACGATGCTCCCCTGCCTTGTGGATCAGACCTTTAGGTCAAAGGCTCGGGGTGTGGCCCCTAAGAAAATCACCTGCTTCGGTTTGGGCACCCGGGCAGTATCACAGCCCTCACACAAATCGGATGATTTATGTGGTGCCTTCTTGTACCAATGTTTATGTGTTTAAATAAATAATTCTATCGTATATTTATTCTAATATAACTCATTAGTGAAGTACGTGTTTAGATTGCTGAACTTTAAAACTGCATATGTGTGAATGGTAGTAACACTAACTGGGTTCCGAAATTTATTGGTTAGAATTAACATTAGGTTTTTCAGTATAGGTTTATGGAGATTATTAGGTTATTGGTTGAGATCTTGAACCGATTGATGTTAGACGACCATTGAAAACCTGGAAGCACTGGACGGTGCAAGAACTGAAGGCCCTGGGTTTAAATCCCGCTATCAGGATCGTGGATACTCACTGCTGAGTAGTCCCACAATAAGATGAGGCGGCCGTCTAGTTGCTTTTAGGTTTTCAATGGTGGTCTAACATCAATGGGTTAAAGATCTCAATAGGTTTTTCAACCATTAAGCCCATTTTTAACTGTAGAAACCAATGTTTAACTGTTAAATCCTTGCTCCCTGATGGTTGTTGGCCAATGTGTTATCAGGTACAGTTTGTTTAAAACCGTGTATATAATTTAAGGTTGTCTTCTACGAAATTTTGGTATACATCAGAAACTTATATTAAAGTTCCACAATTTAGTTGTTTTTCTGTTTAATCAGACAGAACTTTTTATATGCACATACTAAGGAATTAGAAACATTAGTAACGATAGTCCTTTGAGACTTAGAACTTAGATGGCACTAACAAACTTTGTTTATCATTTACAGTCGTTTATATGTGTTACGTCCACTGCTTGGTCACGGTCAATACAGTATACAACAATCGGCACTCGAACACGTAAAACCTCATAGTCGTAAATCAAAAGACAGGAAAACGACTGTTGATTAGGAGTCAAAAGTGTATTGGGAAAAGGGGTGTTTATAGTTATTAGTACAGATCATAATATTACGACCCAGTCAATCCGCAAGTAGGAAGTTATACACTTGCCCAGTGATACCATGCCACGTTGATAATCTGGAAGATTCTGAATGAATAGGACCTTTGCAGCTACTTTAGAGGCTTCGTTGTGCTTTTCGATAGATAGCCCGACAATATGCTTGTTAAATAAATTATTATATGTTCTCTATTTTCAATACTCTCATGCAATCACTATTGTTAATGAAAGCTGATTTTCCTCAATTTCCTCCAACCAACCTTCATCAAATGAGGCGTGCATTTAGCGAATACAGTCTTCAAATACACTTCTGCTTTTTAATTTGCCATCTATGTAGTCCACTTTGTGCTTACGAGAATTGAATTCATTTTATCAGCCTTATCTCAAAAATTCTTTCTTGGAATACTTTCCCTTCGTCACATAAAGCACTTCTATCTCCATTGGTAGTGTGTAAAGCGTCCTCAGAGGTTCTCATAGATCTGACTGTATGATATGATCATAATAACTGAATAAAGCTGGGAGCTTTTAGGGTATTGTATGGATTCCGTACACAACTTTCTCAACCCCCAGGTGCTTGTATATAGATATCAACTTTTCCTAATTCAGTTCATCAATCATTCGGACAGTGAATCCACTATCGGATGATAATAATAAGACCTTCCAAAGTCGGTTGTACACGTCTAACAACATTAGTTCGGTTTGTGTATTTATTAAATCAACTTTTGTTGAAACATAAAATGGGTTAAACCTAAAAAGCACGATGCTTGTAGGCTCCATATGTTTCCATTTCACCACTAAAGTTACTTCAGCAGAGCTATTCGAAGTTTCAAAGGAAGCTGAAATAAAAATTAAAAATTCTATATTATAATCGACAGAAAACCTCTGAAATCATTATTCTCAAATTTGATAGATACTAACCAGTGTGAACTATAGTAGGAATACATCAGTTATAGTGTTGCAATCGGACTAATATCAATTGAAGAATCATTGAAATTTCGAGAGTACTAAACAAGTGTTTTATTTCGACATGGGATTCCTCAACAGTGCAAACCCTTGCTACCATCAGGGATTGAGCTGAAAACCTCCAGTTCCCATATCCAAATTGTAGTTGAATGAACTTTGAAAACAGCACAGTGATTCTTCAGTGTCATTGATAATGACTTCCTAGCTATCAACATCGTTTAGTGTAAGCACTCACGTGTTTCGTTATAAAATCGACGACGTATCTTGAGGCAAATCGTTCAGTTTTTTCCAACAGATTTTTTATTCCGCTTAACTGACGCAAACTGAATTATTACAGATCAATATATGTGTAGACAAGGTTCTACACTGTTTGTAACTAACTACATTATTAACATTGAACTACAATGAAATTCCTTTAACCAAATTACCTGTAGTTTTGATAAGTACACGTAAATTAGTTTTGCTACAATTTTTTTAATATCAAGCGGTAGGTAGATGAATGTATTTAAGATTACTTGTAATGAACAAGTCTTGTGATTACATAATTCATATAAGCATTCATTATGTAACAAGTATTTCATTACATTACTGTTATATTTGAAATTAGGAATATAGTTATTATGTTGTTATCTTATACAGAGTTTTTGATTGAATGTAATCACTTATATAACTGTTATAAAGTAACATGCTAATCATTTTAAATATGAGATAATCAGCGCAAAATGATGTATTATCTATGAATGGAGAGGACTGAGTAGAAGTGTTATTCATCCGTGGTACGGCCGAGAGTGGAGAGTCACCTCTCTCTCTCTCTCTCTCGAAATACATGGCCACGTGTTTACAGTCATTATCAGGGAAGTCCCGCTCACTGCCTTCTTACACCATGAGTGTTGTTTACGAAATTGATAGAACGAAAAGTGAATGTCCGGCGCTTTAATCGAATCGGTGAACACAGAGGATCTACCTATGGGAGTTGGAAAACCCTCATTCCAAACCAATGGTGCACATGGTCTGCAGCATTCTGAAGGAATAAATGGTATATGAATCTGTTGTTTGTTACCGAATACCATGTGACTGTATCTATTTACGTTGCTCCACTGCATTTTGGATGGGACCTTTAGGTCGAAGGCTCCGGATGTGACCCTATAAGAAAACCATCTGCTTCGATTTAGGCAGCCGTACAGTATCCTGGCTCTCACAAGAATCGAACGATTTATGTAGCGCATATGTATTTGCTGCCTCCATATACCAATATTTATGTGCTTAAATAAATAAACACACTAACTTAATCGATAGAATTCGATTAACTGTAAAACAATCAATGATTATGTTTACTATTCAGTGACCAATTAGTATAAACAAATCACTCTTACACAAAATCAGTCGTGAATCAAACACTTTATTGGCAATTGACCTCACTGCGACACTTTCGACCAACACTGTTACTCCTCGGTGCTTAAAGTTTCGCAAAAAGTTGATGTATATTATCTTAAGCTTGTAATTTTATTAAGACTACCGTAGTGAATGAAGATTTCTTGGGCTCAACCCACTTATTGCGTAATACAAAATCAAACAGCAACTTTGTAAGATTTGAAAATCATTTGCAAATCTTCCTTCAGTTGTCCTTTACACACTTCATCATTCTTCCGATTCTGTTGTCATTTCCGTTGCTCTCTATTTTCCTTTCTCTTCCCTTTACTTCACTCTTCTGCTGGTAAACATTCAACGATCCGGTTTCTGCTACATACTACTCATATCTGCCCGCATTAGTAGTGCATACCACACTATGATTAAGAAATACTATTCATTAAAAGTTCCATCTTTAAAGACGGTTTTAATTAGCATTTCCAGTACAAAATAAACATACACCTTATCGTACTTATTACACTGATGAAGTTTCATCAGATTATCGAATTGTCATTCGATTCAGTTCAAGTTAAAATACATAGAAATATAATTTAATGATTGAATTCATGAGTCAGTTGAAGCTAGATGACCATGGATAACCTGGAAACACTGGACGCCCGCTTCACCCCAGTGTGGGACTCGTCAGCCATACACATCCATGGTCCTACCCCTCGAGATTCGAACCCAGGGCCTACCAGTCTCGTTCACGAACGTTTAACCTCTGGACGATTGAGCCAGCATCCGACGGTGTCAATGTCTAACGTCAACTAATCCACGGTCTTCCATTGTACTGAGGTAGATACCTGTCTCCAGCCGACATAAATTAGCTCCACTGGTCACGGCTTCTCACTAGAACTCCAGGAATAACTCTTGGTGACAGTCATAAGGGAGCATATTTATTTACCATACAACACACTTAATTTTACATTGACTTTAATTCTCATTGACTTTAATTTTCATTAACTAATAGTCAAATCTTTCGAATAACTATAAACCATTAAATTCATTAAGAA